AAACTAAAAAAAATTAAACTTTAAGCACAGTGATTACTAAAATCTACAATGATTACTAACCAACATGCATGTTGTCAGAAGAAATATAATATATAATAGGAGTGTACAATAGCAAATTAAGTCCTATTGTAAAGCTAGATAAAAGCAAGACCACCCAACATTGTTCACCCTGTTGCCCACCCACTTTAACAATGGTATATTCCAATTGGGTGGTTTATGTCCTGGGTGGTTTATGCTCAGAGATAGTATGCTAAGTCATACTATCCATAGTACATTTTCTAGATTGGTAAAAATAGCCTGGTCAATCTTCATGCATCTGGGCACACTTCGTTCAGTATCCAATCACAAATGATGAGTGATTATATTAAAATTTTGTCACAAAATTGCAAAATCTATTTATTTCAAATAACAACACCAAAACCAGACCTAAATAGTAACAGGCCCTTAGTCCGAGAATATGCCAAATAAGATACTGATCATTTGCATAATAATTAAGCTATTCAGTGGAAATTGTTAAAATACTTTATTGTATAAGACTCAAATAACATCCTTGTGTGTACATAAACTTGAAAATTCATTTAATAACATACTTTATTGCAAATAAACTGAACTGTTTGAATATAAATTTTGACTTGTCATTGGCTCGGTAACTAAATGACATATTTAATATGCTAATAACTTATTAACAAAAATGAATTAGGAAATAAAATTAATGCCACCAAATAGCCCTACTAAAACTAGCTTTGTATATAAAGTTGTATTGTTTAATCATTTATATTTTTTGTAAAAAGTTAACTTTAAGTTGTTTTCCAGTAACTAAATGACATATTTATTGGTTTTAATATTTTCGCATTTTGATTAATAAAACATGAGGCAAAAGTAAAACTGAATGAAAATATGTGTTCTTAGTAAGCCATTTGACCATATTAAACTAGATTTTAATATAATTTCAAGTTTCAAGTTTGTATGTGAAATTTTATCAAAATAAAAAAATTATTTATTGACATATTTTAATTAATATTTAACTACACTTCTGATTTTATATTTGAAAATCTGAGTTTAAATCTTGAAAGTATATGTTTCAAGCTTTAATTAGACACCAAAACTGTAAATATAGAATGAATATGAAAATTTAGGTGCTTTGTCCATTTTGTATGGAATTGCCCACCTCTATTTTTTACCTTTTTCATAAATGACTTAACTTCGAATTTCAATTCACATTGTTTACTCTATGCTGATGATTTGAAATTGATTAGATTAATATCTCATATGCACGATTCACGCCTTTTACAAGATGGTCTACATAAACTTAATTCATGGTGCAATATTTGGCATGTGGAACTTAGTTTAAGTAAATGTAAAGTTGTAATTATTTGTATTAATTAACAAAATTTTATTTCCATATAGTATTTGTAATCATACCTTAGCCAATGTAAATACTCGTTGTGATCTTGGCATAATTATTGACTAAGCTTAATTTTAACGAACATATTAAACATATTTATTTTAAAGCTAATAGGATGTTAGGACTCGTAAAGCGAAATTGCTGGCATATTAAAAATGTAAATATTGATATCTCTCTGTTTAATTCCTTAGTTAGACCGCAAGTTGAAACTTGTAGTTATTTTTAACAGCATCAGCCTCTAAAATTGACATTATTCAACGCTGCTTCGTTATAATTGTTTCAAGGGTATGTAAGGTTCCAAAAAGTTCTATTAATCTTCCTTTACTTAAAAGTCGACATAATTTCCTGGATTTAACATTTTATTTAAATGTGTTAATGGTATCTATGGTAATTACTTTAAAACATCTTTATTTGGTATTTCTGTTAAACCCATGCCGTAGTACCTTTACTGAATTTTTCACAATTTCTTTTGCCAGAGTCAATGTTACGAAAAATGGTTTAATCAATAGATTACCTAGATAACAAACTTAGCAAAAAAGATATTTTATAACAGTGTAGAAATATATAAAAAGAAGATCAAATTTATTTTACATATACAGAACTACAGTAAGTTTTGTTATCTTTATTGGGACTTTTTAAATTATTCGTATTTGTTTATTTGTATCAGTTTTTTGTTTCCATTCTGTAAGTAGTGGGACACACGCTGTTGAATGCGAATTGATCAAATTTTTGCATAAAATATCAATAAACTTCCAACGTCAAATCTCTATTTTTGGATGTATTTGATACAAATTGTGTTTTTCTTGTACCTATTGACATATGCAATACAAAAATTGATGTTAACAAGACAAAAATTAAAATGCATTATGTACTATTGTCATTGGTCATGATCCTATAATTTTGTAATCAACAACAGTTTTTGGGGTAGGGGGTAACATTTATGCTCATACCTCTTGATTAAGTCAATGAATTTGTAGCTTATAGAATGGTCAGTCATTCAAATTGAGAAAATTTTGGAAACAGGCAGAAATTGATGCAACTGGAGGTCAAAAGGTCATTGACCTCCACAAAAAAGTTGTAAATTTATTTCCAAATCACTCACAAACATTTATAAATCTATAGTTGTGAGTAGATTTGATACCAATTAGTACTTTCCATTACAAATAAGCATATGGAATATAAAAACAAATGATATTAACAATAAAAATGTATAAATTGATTAAACGTACTACTGTCATTATTGATTACTTTTTTAATCAATGTCGATGTAGTCCAGTCAATCTACCGAATGACCCGGAATTAATTGCAATAGTTTTGATTTTAAGGCTATTTCCTTATTATACCACAGCCAATATATCTTTTAACATGCACCAATAGATGAGATGACACTTCCTCCCAGGGACTTTTTAATTCATGTGTACTCACCTCCGCAGGCTGGTTGTGGCTAGTAGATTGGCTATACATGGTTGTCTTGTTGCACAAACAAGTTCAGTATTGAATTATGGTTTTTTTTCTCTACTTCCCTTTCTATTCTCACAGAAGCTAGTAAATACCTAGTAAAAGAAACAAATTCAAAAAAATTATAACTTGCAAATAAAACTATAAATATTCTGTAGTTTTCTGTAGTAAAGTCCACCCAGCCTTGAACACAACATTGGGCCAATTTTATAAGGGTCAGCTTATGACAAAGCCATTCAACAGGTAATCTAATTCAAAGCCCATTTTGAGGTACTTATTCAGATCATAGAATTAAAACTATCCCCCGCCGGACTTCAAATGACGAATTTCATTGGCCGTTACGTATGACATCATCCTCTTGCAACAAAACTCGAAATCATCCTACAGTATGTTTAATATCCACTTCAGTCCTTAATATTTAACTATTTTTTTAGATAATCATTAGCTATATTGTAATACTTTAAGTATCATCTAGTTAACTTTTTGAACTCGTTATTTCATTTACATGAAAAATTTTGCCGTTTATATGCAGCACTTTCGTTAAGATCGTTATGGTTTCCTCGTGTACACAATGGCCGATCAACAGATGATCGTCGGTTTTGCGGTGCCAAAAAAAAATATTGCTACGCCTCGTATTACATTCATATTTGGCAAATAAACTCTTAGCTATATAAACTAATCTTCATTATTAAAAAATTGAACTTTTTTACTCGCAATTCTCTGGCAAAAACGACAAATTTTAATGGAATTTTCAAAAGATGATAACTTCGACAAAAGGTGACTGATTTCAGAAAAAATCAAAATGGTGTACTACTTCGACCCCTGATTGACCTGATGAAAGCGCCTCAACCAATCAAAAAGCATTTTAAAATATGAATATTTTCTTAAGACCTTGTTGATAAAAACACGCTTGGCTGAACTGGGCTAATGACACTAATTGAAGTGTGTGACGTCACGCATCGTGTGGTGCCTAGTTAGGCCTGCACACCCAGTTTAAATCTACTGGTAAATTTTATGTACGTCCCTGCACTAGGGCCTAGGCCTACGGGGACACAACAACTATGTGTACATCCCCGGCTCAAGTCCGGCTAGTGCCCCGCTATGGCCCAGGTGGGGGGGGGGATGGGGAAGGGCAGGATTACAATTGACAAGTGCATTAATAGTCCGGTGGCTTATGTCATCCCGTGGGAATTTCGTGATCATTTTGGTTTTTTTTTAAATTATATACTTTGAAGTATGCTGAATCAAATAAAATGAGTCGCCAAATTTTTTTACGCTCATCTTCATATGCAAATTAGCTGAAATATGCAAATTAGGTCTGAAAATGTAGGGTACATATGTCGTTGTCGTTGTCTTCTACATGTCGTAGAAAGTTGCTTCTTTCTTAAAGGTGTTCAGAACATGCATGTTTCTATTTACCCTAATGGAACATTTTCTTCAAAAATGACCGGAAGTGCCATTTTGCCGACCTTATTTGCATAAATATGCAAATTAGGGGTAGAAATATAGGAAGCTATATCTTGAAAACCACTGGTCGTACAGAGTTGCTTTTTGCAGCAAAATGTTTAAAACATGCATATTTATATTTACTATAATGGACAATTTTCTCTGTAAATGACCGGAAATTGCATTTTTGACCTTTGACCTCAAATTTGCATGATTGTAATATCTTGGCAACCACTGGTCTTATAGAGTTGCTTTTTTTAACAAAATATTTACAATATGCACATTTATACTCTAACAGAATAATTTCTCAATATCAACCAGAAACTGTTTTATTGACCTTCGACCTATCTTTGCAGTATATAGGCCTATTATATATACCTAACAATATGCATATTCATATTATTATTGAATAATTCCTCAAAAAATTACATGAACTTTCTGGACCGCCATTGACCCTATATTTGTATTGTTTCTATATCGTCTTCATCACTAACTTGGACTAACAGCCACCGCTGTTTGTTGTTCAATGGCTGTTGTGGTTGAAAATTATTTACAAACAAACTGACTTTTCTACCGAAACGATCGGTATCCCCGGTCGAGAAGAAAAACAATTCATTGGGGGAGGGGGCAGGGAAGAAAATATTTATGATATATTAGAAGACCCTAAAACCGATTAAATAAGCCTTTGAAATTTCCGGGGTTTCAACCCTGAAACAATTCCAGAAACTTTGAGCGAGACCCGGCCACGCCCACTTACGCTCTCGTTGCCCACACCGTCGAAGACATCATACCCCCATCAGCCAAATCCTGCCGCTACCAGTCCCATTCAGAAATAAAATTAATTCACTTATTTTTGTATTGATGCTCTTACTTTGTCATGAACGGAAGGAAACTGTTTGAAATAGCATATACCGACGGTATACCACCAATTGGCATTACTGCAAATTGCCTAGTAACAGTGAATTAGAGTGAGAAACGTTCCCAGACAAGTAGGTTCCCACGATCAGGAGAAGCATGGGAGAAGCAGAAACAAGGTCAGTCACATACAGTAGTCTTATTCTTTAAACGCCGCCAACTCAGGAATGTAGACGCGCTAGTGTTTGATCTGATTCTTTGAACGCCGCCTTCAAGAATGTAAACTGGTTTGTTCAGCGATACCAACATGTGCCATGGTTTCAGTAGTGCAGCTGTATTTTAGCGAAGTGTTGTTTTTTTGTACGTTCACTTATACATGTCATTTTAATTTAGACATTGATCATCATAATAAAATCATTAACTTTGTTGTTACTATGGCGTTTATGTTTGCTTTCTGTTGTGTGTTATAACAGTTGTTAAACCTTTTTTTTTTTCAAAGACGTGCACACTCATTCTGTATAAATGAGTATATTGTGAGCCTATCCACTGCAAGACTCTTAATTAAAAATCAACGTAACCATGGGGACGTGTACTTCTACTGTTATTTTCTCAATGAATAGGGCGTTTACAGTTAAAAGCCCTTGATTTTTTAGCAA